CTTAATATTGTGATGCCTTTAGTTTTGTTCTATTCATCTGTTGCAATCCACTTATTGAGTATCTTATTGTTCTTATATCCTCCTTGCATTCTACACATTTCCGCTTCTCCTCATCTTCTTAATATCTATTGACTTTTTTTATATGTCTGCATTTTGTACTTGTCTTCCCTTTTTTATTTATTTCGGTAGCCACGTATGTTGATCGATCTTCTTATGCTTCTTATATCTTGAACGTTGTATCTTTCCATGTATCACTTTTCTCTCTACTTCAATCTCTCCTTCCTTGCATTTTCTACTCATGCTTCCACCTCTACTTTTCAGTTCTACTGCTTAACTATACCCGCTTTCATTTGTACATTTCATCCTTTACTTTCCCCATTCTGTTATTATCTGAATTTTAATCTTCTCTTGCACGCACTTCTTTAATAGTTGGACTGCGGATTTTTATGCAAAATAAAACTTATAGGGTATCAATTTAAGAAATGATATTTAACCCTTTAATTCTTTAAGCATCATGTTATGCATTTTANTTCTAGGTTGAAGTGTGTCCGAATATTAATGGGGTTCACTACATATGTCTATGGCAAAACCTAACTAATTAAATGATTAAGAAATTTATATTTAATAAATGTATTAAAGATAAATTGTTCTGATCAAATGCAGTAATTAATTGAAATATTAAAATAAAACCAATCTTTACGTTAATGGTTCAGAAATTTCTTTGTTATCTACTTTATTGTATAATTGTTTGTATATGACAACGAAAGAAAAAAATTGAATACAAATTATATTCTTAAACGCAAACTGGTAGGAATATAAAGAAATGTTTGTTGTAAAACAATTACAGGGTGATCGCACTTTTGTTTTCGGTCACTGTATATACAATTGCATTATACGTAGTAAAATTACTATAAATTATGTTATACAACTAATTAAATATTGTTGATGAAGTCATTATACAAGTCGATGTGAAATGAAAGTATTTAATAATTTTCAACAGGGATCATCCGAATGAGCAACGGGAGAAAGAGGAGTTCGAGGAATACTTCGAAACCGATAATCAAAGAGAACTGAGACAAATATTCTCTGGCCAGAGTCAAATGTTCGAGGCATTGCGCGAGTTGAACAGAAAGTTGGACGAGATAGTAGGAAGGCAGGAACGATCGTTAAGTCTAATATCTCAACTGCAAGTCGGTGGTAAGAATCTCGCTAATTCATAACAATTTCTTAGGACGTGATTATTAGACTGCGGATTTTATGCATTTGTGGCAAAATTGGATAGATGGAAAATATAAAAAAAATACATGGAAATAGGTGCATAAAGGTTTAAAGTATTAAAAGACATTCTTGCTAAATATAATTTCTTAAATTAATATTCTATAAGTTTTATTTTGAATAAAAATCTACAGTCTAATGGTGGCGTACACTGAAACGAATAGAATGCTAGATGAATGCTCAATCCGATTAGTTGCGATTTATCTCGACATACGAAATCATTTGATGCGGTATTGCTACAGACCATGCCTCGTACCAGTCCCTGAAATCAGTTGTTACATTTTTTCTCTTAAGATTTATGTAATAATAAGAATATCGAAGAGTCTCTAGCTGTTAACTACTTACTACTACTTTTTCCATATTTCAATAGTTTAGATATGTTTAGAAGCATTTGTAATCGACTGGATAAACAGAGCGTTCAAATGGGAGACTTGAATCCAGGCGGTTAAAAGAAAGAAAATTAATAGAAGAGTTCTTTTCGTTCTGAACTTACAGCGTGTTATCTCGACTTCTTTTGTTAGAGGTATCAGGGACGGAAATCTGCTGTTTAACAAGAGTTGTTATATCCTTCTCTCGACTATACAGAGAACGCTCAGTTTATTCTTTTAGGTTTATATTAAATACTCATTTATGCACATTAAAAGCTTTTTTTTTAATAGGTGTGCAAGTTTCTGGTCAAACTGGCGGGCAAGGAGTACAGCTAATTGATACGATAAGACGTACAGAAGTCGAAACATTGTTCGAAAATCAAAACGTTCTAATGAATAGAGCAAAGGAGGTAGAATCATTTGTGAAGGATATGTACGTGAAGGTTGATACGATTATTAACAATCAGGTTCGCGCTCCAACTGCACAGGTGATTTTCTTATTATTTCTAATTAACGTACTGTACACAGATTATACGAATTTTATGTAAATGCATGTAAATACATTTTTATCTACAGTGACTCCCAATAATCGGACACACTTCAAAATAGCATAACTTTTAATATTGGATGAAACAACTTAATTGTTTTTGGGTTGTTAGGAGGCCTGGTTTATTACATAACAAGAAATTCGTCAGAATCTCGAAGAAAAAAAGAAAATACAATTTTTTTATTAGGATTTCCGATAAAAATTTGGAACATCCCATTCGTATAT